CCCCAAAACCCCAAAACCCCAAAACCCCAAAACCCCAAAACCCCTTTATTCCTGTAATGTGTTGAGTAAGAAAAGATAACAATTGTCTTCTCTAAGAATTAGATGCTCTCCTCAAGCAAGGGGCCTCGAATTCTATTGTGGAGAAGAAACTGCTCTCCTGGAGATGACTCCGAGGCAGTTTGTGTTTGTTTACAAGAAGTATGGGACTACATTCCTGTATGGGACTGATTTTGAGCTATCAGTAACGGCATAGAAAATCTCATATTTGTTTTCAAGATTTTCATCGACCTGGAGAATACTAGCGACGTTTCCACATCTGTAGCAATAATTTGGAGCTGACCAAACAGTAACTAAGTTTTGATCCTTGAACCAAATTTTGAATCCATCTTGTACCAACTGGTGAGCTCTGCAAATCAAACTGAGATCATTAATTCTGTTAAATTCCTTAGTGACTTTGGATCCAAAGAGCCATCCAGCTCCTCTTGGACTCATGGCCCAAGTATCAATATCTTCTGGGTCACTCCACATCAAATCACAGAAAGGTCCTTCGTGTGGGATTTCCTTGCATCTTTGAATAACTCTGATCTGATCGATAGTCTTGACATCTGGAGAGAGTCCACCATGGATGCAGAGAAGTTTGCCTTCAACGAGGGCTGCAATTCCTAGGTAGTCGAACACATCAGTGCAGTACTTCCATGGATTAGCATTTCCATATTTTCTTAGGATCTCATCGTAAAATCCATAGACACTAGTTACCTGTCTGGATTCGTGGTTTCCTCTGAGCAAGGTGATGTTGGCAGGGTACTTCAACTTCAAAGCTAGGAGGAGTTCGAATGTTTCAACTGAGTTATATCCTCTGTCAACGAAATCTCCCATGAAAATGTATGATGTATCCGGAACATCGCCGCCCTTACTGAACAGTTCCAATAGATCATAGAACTGACCGTGAATATCTCCGCAGATGGTTACTGGTGCGCTCACTGGTTGAACATTGTTCTCTTCGATGAGGATTTCTTTGACTTTTTCACATAGCACTCTCAAGTCTTTTTCTGGTAAACATTTACCACTCTTGATAGCTTCTAGCCATTCGTCAGGTTTGCAGGACATCCTATTTAAAGACCGAAGATTTAAATATTTATTATTATTGGGGTTTTGGGGTTTTGGGGTTTTGGGGTTTTGGGGTTTTGGGG